TCAAAAACTGGAGTTTGATTATTTGTACAATGACATGGAAAAGGGCATTTATGTAAAAATTTGGATTTAAAAGCAATAGTTAATTCTCTCTTTTCAAAACTAGAGTTTGATTATTTGCACATTAACATGGAAAAAGGGCTTTTTGTAAAAATCTAACAGTGATGACTAAAGAAACTACACCGAAGAGCAAAAAAGTATTGTTTCTGATGCCATATGATTAGAAATTTCATTAAATTAATTGCAATCTATAGAGAGACAAAAGAATGGTCGGAAAAAGAAAAGATTGAGCAAATTTTTCTTACACTGTCAATGTAAGACGTTTTTACATTGATGGCTCATTGCACCACCTCATTAATGAGAGTGGATAACCTGTTTTATCCATTTCTATTAAACAAAAGGTGGAGATTGATATTAAATAAAACAATAAGCTAATTAACTTTCAATTTAATATCATCTGGAACTCTCCTAATCAATGGTGTAAGCGATTGATGAAGCTTTCTTCAAGAAAGACCTCTGACTCTCTCTATCCTTCTTGTTCTCTTCTTCTTGCTTGGAAACCAAATCATTTCTACCAATTTGAACACTACATAATCACCAAATTTTTTCTTTTTTCACATCTAATTACAATATTCTAATCTCCTCCAGATTTCATAAAAATAGGGGGAAAGTTAACTCTCCTAAAGGAATCAGAAATGGCTATTTACATAGATGGATGTCTATTGACCCTGATTGGCAGACCTATCAAATTTCTTTACATCGATGGATTGTTATATATTAAGTTGGGAAGAATTGGGAGGAGGGTTGGGTTAGGTGATAAAGTGAAAGGAATTCTAAATAGAAGGTCATGAAATCAAAACCTCTCACTTAAAAAAAAGTTGGGAAAAATTTCAGGAACCTTAGCATTTCAATTTTGTTTTTTTAGATCCACCTATTAGGTTTCTTTACACCCAAATTCTTTGGAATATATTTTACATAGCTTGAAAACAAAATCACTTTTTCCAATCCAAACCTCAAATCCATGTTGACATAAAGGAAAATTTTCTTTCTTTACATCCAATTCAAAACTCCAATTTAGTCCAAACTTAATGGGAGGTTTTATTGGACATATTTTGATTGCAAAAGGACATTGCTTCAAGCCTATTGGGTGTCTAGGAAGGGCCAAAAAAGTAGTGGTAGTGAGATGGTTGAGACAAAAAAGTGAAGGAGGAGAAGAAATTGTTTGAGATATCATGAAATTCTATTTTTTGTTTAAGGATTATTTTATTCAATTAAATAATTTTGATAAGATAGTCAACTGGTTATAAGGGATTACCAACTTCTATTGCTAAGGTGGCACAATATCATGGACCACTAGTGTAAAACAAGTTTATATTGACGGACAATGCTTTAGTAACGATAGTTATGGTAACGAAATAGTTTTTACCTAATATAACAGGTTATTGCACTTTTAGCGACTATTTGATTTCTTGTTAGACCTATCCACCTAAATAGAATAACACCTAAAAATATGGAAGTAAGTTTTCCATCTAAAATAGTAAGTTAAGCTTAATAGATTAGTAACTTTTATACCTCAAAAGGTAAATTGGAATAAATAATAAACTTACTTTTTAAATAAATAAATTACTACTTTATATCCCAAACTTACTTTTTAGAGAGTAAGTTTAGTTCAAATAACAGTAAGTTTTTATACATAAATAGTAATTCTTACTAATAACATGGTAAATTTGATTAAGGATCAAAATTTACTGTTTTTTGGAATACATGTACAATTTACATTAAAACCTTATCTCAAACTAGTATTAGGAAGTTTATTTGAAATAATGATAAGATGTTTTATTAATGATTAAAACTTAGTACCTTAGTCAGTAAGTACTCATAATATACCTGTATAATAAATGATTATAGGTATAATTTAAATTTTTTTTGTATTTATATATTTTAAAATACTATGAAAAGTAGTTTCACTTTTCAGATAACCTTGTAAAATATGTAATAAAATTTTGTCATATTATAAGTTTTTAATCATTTTCAATTTTTGAAAAGTTTGAAAGTTTGGATAACAATAACAACAAATCTTCCTAGTTATATATAGAATATCACTTGTTTCTACATCACAATTTTTATAATTTAACACCTATGAATATAATAAGATAATAAAGTTTTAATAAATTTACATCTAGGACACAAGAATTAACAAGAGTTAAAGCCCAAACAAAATGAGAAATAGTATAACAATAAAAATGACAAAATTAGTATAACGGTTAATTTAAGAAAATCAGTATGATCTGGACTTTTTTCCTTGGGAGATTGTTCATAAAAATGAGATCCTACAATTAAATGAAAATCACTTGCACATATAATCTATTGTATAATTTAAATTAAATTCAATTCACGTATAAAATGGTCCTAAAATAATTAGCACACTATGATACAATGTTATTTTAATAACAAATTTTTTTTACTGAAAGCCTCAAATATCCATGCTATACAAATGAGGGATATTTTACCATATTTGTGTCTAACTATAAGCACAAATTTCGTTGCCAAAAATAAAAGACCTGAAAACTTGCACAAATACCAAATTTATTAAATCAAATAATAAGAGAGTTACAATCTCTAAAAATTCTTTTTTCTTTTGATAATTACAATCTCTAAAAATTCTTGAATCAAATAAATTAATCCCCTAATTCTTCTCTTCAAAAGCACTCCTAATTAAAGCATAATAAAATCAAGTTTTTTAACCTTTTAATGTAGTAGTTATGTTTACTAAAAAAATTAGTAAACCATTCCCACAATGCATTGCTTCTCTTAAAAGTACTAATATTTTGTAAATAAATTGAAATAATTTTGTAAAAGATTTTATCCATTTTCTCTAATATAATCAAGAGAATTTTGCACCTTTAAAATATAAATAGAAAGAAAGGAGAATAGTATGAGTATAAAGGTGACCAACTGCAATATATATCACATCAGGTGTTTAGATATGATTTGTTAAGTAATCAATAATTTAGTCCTGGACAATATATGATGCATATTGATTTCTTATAAATAAAAATATAATTTAGCAATTATGCATTAACAGAATTCGTAGTTTGAATGCAATCAATTGAGCACCTATTTCCCTTTTTTAAGTAGCTAATATTTATTTTATTACTTAGGTTATATATTTACATTTAAAATAACAACAATAGCTTGCCAATCCTCGGACCAATAGAACATCAATTATTGTTAACTAAACTAATTTTACATTGATCAAAATTAGACTAGAAAATGAAATGTTAATAGCAACAATTGGTAAAAAATAGCAATCTTTTAATTTTGGGAAAATAAAAAATAAGTTCCCAAAATATTTCACTTTTATTTTTAAAAAAATCTCAACTTGTTAATTAAATTCAAAATGATTTTATTATAAAAAATATTCTTCCTCAAATTAACATCAATGATTAGACATGAGATACAAATATGGGAAAAAAAGAGATAAAAATATGGTAAAATATCTCTCATACATGTGTCATGGATATTGGAGACTTTTGGCAAAAAAAATTTTTGTTGTTAAAATAATATGGTATTGCAGTGTGCTAATTATTTTAGGATCATTTTGTACATAAACTAAATTTAATTTAAATTATACAATAGATTATATATGCATGCGATTTTTGTTTAGTGGTTGGATCTTATATTCGTGAACAATATCTAGAGAAAAAAAGTTTCAGACTATACTAATTTTGTTATTTTTATTGTTGTATTAATTGTTACACTATGTCTCTCATTTTGTTAGGTCTATATTAATACAAGTTTAATTCTTATTATTTCTTGTATCCCAGACAATAAATATATTAAAACTTTATCATCTTAACTACGAAGATGTGCTGTTATTATTATCCAAACTTTTCAACCTTTCAAAAACTATTCAAAATTATAATACGATAAAATTTTATTATTTTATAAGGTTATGTGAAAGGTCAAAATTTTTTTCACATAATATTTTAAAATATATAAATATAAAAAATTTTAAATTATACATATAATCATGTATTATACAAGTGTATTATGAGTACTTACTAACTAAGGTACTAAGTTTTAATCATTAATAAAACGTTTTATTGTTATTTCAAATAAACTTCCTAGTATTGGTTTGGTATAAGTTTTTTAAGCAAAATAGCACATTTGTGCCATAAATTAGTAAGTTTTGGTCATTAATAAAATTTACTATGTTATAAGTAAGAATTACTATTTATGTATAAAAACTTACTATTACTTGAACTAAACTTACTCTCTCAAAAGTATGTTTGGGATATAAAATAGTAATTTATCTCTTTAAAAAGTAAGTTTCATATTTATTTCAATTTACCTTTTGAGACACAAAAGTTACTAATTATTACGGTTAACTTACTATTTTAGATGAGAAACATACTTCCTTATTTTTAGGCATTATCCTATTTATGTGGATATGTCCAACAAGTAATTAAATGGTGGCTAAAAGTATAATAACCTGTTATATCAGGTAAAAATTATTTAGTTACCATAACGATAGTTACTACAGCATTTTCCTATATTGACAATGTAGAAAAGATTTACTCTTATTTAATAGAAGTTATTCATTTTAAAGTTTTGAACTAATTTGGATAAATTATGAGGTTCGTTTTATCCATTGGACAAATATTAGGGGAGGTAAACATAATTTGGATAGACCTTAAGGAAGGTAATTGTAATTAAATCAATTTATAAAAGAGTATTTTGGCGCTTTCAGATTTGCATTTGTACTGATCCAAGCATTATTTTTAATGGTAATTAACGTGAAGGGGGCATTTGGTAAATGTTTTGTCATTTAAGGGGTTTGACTGTAATATGGTCAAGTCATAGGATAGATTTCATAATTTTGTTAAACCTCACAGGATGTAGATGTAATTAACCCTAAAGAAACATTTTTAACCACCCAAAGTAGGAGTATAATGAACTAATATTCGTTATTGTTTCATTTCCCCCAATGTCAAATTAGATTAATAAACGGAGATAAAGTAGACACAAAATTTCCAAACCTTTAATGAACATGCCCATATATTCAGTGAATGAAGCTGCTGAGCATCGATTTGTTGAATCCTGGTCGTCAACTGGTACCACTAAAGATTAACGGAGAATTAGAATAAAATCACAAAAATTGGAACTAATAAACTGAAGAACTACCTATCGCATATCAATGCACTTTTTTTTTACAAGAAAGATAGAAATCCTCCACTACAGTAATGAGCTGGAAATGAAAGAAATAACTTTTACGTCGCAAATTTTACTTAAAAAAGCATATACTTAAGAGTTAAAGATTGTGTGTGTAAATATATAAATGTATATGTATATTGTATATATAGACACGCTGTCTAAGCAAAATGAAATATCATATGCAGAATATACCTTAAGCGAACAAGAAATTCTAAGGATGAAGATTCGAAACGAAGTACTTACAATCATAGATCCAGATCTCAATGGAGAAAGTTCATTTCCTCTCCGGAATGCTTTAGGCTTCATTGCAAGTACATGAAGTATGGACGTTCCTTTGTCATTTTTTTTAAGAGCTAACTCCGGATATCTCTCAAGGATACGCAAAGCAGCATCTGTAAAAGAAATCTATTTTAGATTCTTTGGTTTTTTACAGAGGCATTTGAGTGTTTACAAAATGTTTTCGTTATCTTAGAGGCAAGGATGGAAATTGGGGCAGGGAGCGCCACCACCCCATGTCCTGGAAATTAACCTATATTTTCTCCTCTAATTAAAAATTGAAAGATTTTTTTTTTAAAAAATTGTTATTTATGAATTAGAAACTTTGCACAATAACTTCATAAGATTTATTTGTTGATTTCAAAATCCATGTGTATGAAATTAGCTCTTCAAAGTAAATATTCTCGATCCATAATGATCATGCTGTGACACACTTGAGTTTTGGTGAATGGACTTTGTTGGCCAAATTATGAAGTTGTAGCTTATCTGTACGGCGGCCAGGCTCACCATATGACCCCGAAGCAGTGATTGCTGAAAAGATAACATAACCGATGCTCTGTCTCCTAGATTTCTGGTAGTTAGTTCTGCTTAGAATTAGTCTCCGATAGGTATATCTGTTGTAACAGAACACATCCTCTAGGCTGTATTTTGTGTTTAAATACTAAGGCAATCGCTAGGAAAGGGGTAGGGGAAAACATTATATGCAAGCCTCTCTTCTTCCTCACCTCTCTTCTACATGGTATCAGAGCCTATCTCATACGAGATTAGGTTCTAATCTGCAACATCCATGGCAACTGGAAATACTCAGGTTGTTCTCCCAAATACTCATGACCCAAACAGTCCTCTAACCTTGATCACCATCCACAACTCCATCAAACTTACCTCCACAAATTATCTCTCTTGGAAAACTCAGATCGAAGCCATCCTCATAGGTTATGACCTGCACAAATTCATTGACGGTTCGCATCCGTCTCCTTCTGCCACCATCACTGCCAACAATGCAGCTTTCCCCAATCCGGCATATCAGACATGGCTGAGACAAGACAAGCTTTTGTTTGGCGCGCTGGTGGGCACGATGTCACCCAACCTTGTTCCGCTCATTGCTCAGTCAAAAACATCTCATGATGCTTGGAAAGCCCTCGCCAACACCTATGCTCGTCCCTCTCGTGGACATATCAAACAAATCAAGGACAACCTGAAGAACATCTCCAAAGGATCACAATCTGTTACCGATTACATGCAAGCCATCAAGACCAAAGCTGATGAACTTGCCACCCTTGGAAAACCACTTGATCATGAAGACTTAATTGAGAAAGTCTTGGACGGCCTTGATGACACATTCCAATCTGTCATTGATGCAGTCAACAGCCGCGACACGGTCATCACCTTTGATGAACTCCATGAAAAACTCATCAACAAAGAGCTGTCCTTGCGCAATTCCTCACCAGGTTTTCCAGCCTCTGCCCACCTCACACACACACAACGCTCAAATCAGCGGTCACCGGGCAATCACCCACCATGGCCTGCTCGTCCTCGAACGTTGCAGTCCGCTCCCAACCACTACAACCGACCAATGCGTCCATTTCTGGGCAAATGCCAGTGGTGCCGTGGTCAAGGTCATGTGGTCCCTCAGTGCACTCTCTTCCGCCAACAATTTCCTCATGCTTCACCACCATCACGCGCTGTCAGTTCACCGCCACTTCGTGCACCCCCTCCTTGGCAAGCTCAAGCTCATGTTGCTACCTCAAACTCCCCATCACATGATCCTTGGCTATTGGACAGTGGTGCTACGCATCACATTACAACTGACCTTCAAAACCTCTCCTTTCACAACCCCTATACTGGTCCAGATGAAATCATGATTGGAGATGGCTCTGGCATTCCTATCACACACACGGGTTCAACTTCTCTGCCTACTTCTTCTCACTCTTTCACTCTTTCTAATGTCCTTTGTGCTCCAACCATGAAACGTAATTTAATTTCCATTTCTCAGTTCTGCAAGTCAAATAATGCCTCTATTGAATTCTTACCATCATCTTTCTTTGTGAAGGACCTTCAATCGAAAGCCATGCTCTTCCAAGGCCAAACTAAAAATGGTGTCTATGAGTGGCCCATCTCCTCGGCTTCATCACCATTGCTTGCTTTCTCCACAACAAAGACCACATACCCTGCCTGGCATCACCGACTTGGTCACCCATCACTACCGACACTCAAACACATGGTCTCATCATTCAATCTGGATGTCTCAAATTCTTCCTCTCTCAACTCTCATTGCAATTCTTGTCATTGTAATAAGAGTCACAAATTACCTTTCTCTGTGTCTACCTTGTTCACTTCTTCTCCACTTGAAATTGTCTTCACGGATGTTTGGACTTCACCTGTGTACTCCATTGACAACTTTAAATACTATATTCTCTTTGTTGATCATTTCACAAAATATATGTGGCTGTATCCGCTGAAACGCAAATCTGATGCTCGTAATGTTTTCATTTCCTTCAAGGCCTTGGTTGAAAAATTCTTCAACTGTGAAATCAAAACGCTTTACTCTGATAATGGTGGCGAATATCAGGCCCTCTCTTCCTTCCTAACAATCAATGGCATCTCTCATCTCACCTCTCCTCCTCATACTCCTGAACACAATGGCTATTCTGAACGTCGCCATCGTCATATTGTTGAAACTGGACTTTCTCTCCTTTCTCACGCATCTATGCCTCTGGCCTATTGGTCCTTTGCCTTTTCCACAGCCGTATATCTTATAAATCGTCTCTCGACACCTACTCTCAACAATGAGTCTCCATTCCTTAAACTTTTTGGCACTGTCCCTAACTACAATAAACTTCGAAGTTTTGGCTGCCTCTGCTATCCCTGGCTCCGTCCTTACACCTCTCACAAACTTGAACCCAAATCAACTCCTTGTCTCTTGGTTGGATATTCCTCTACTCAAAGTGCTTATCTCTGTCTTGATATATCCTCCAACCGATTGTACACCTCTCGTCATGTCCGTTTTGTTGAGTCTGTGTTTCCCTTTGCCAACTCTAATCTCACCCTCCCTCGGGTCACCTCCTCCACCACATCCGAATGGTGTTCTATGACTTTACCTGTCATTCCTTCTGTGTCCTCCTCCGTCCCAACAACCTCTCAACCCCAAGGACAACCTTTATCGTCGCAACCCGCATCCAGTTCTGGATTACCACCCATCTCCTCCCCTCCTACTCCAGCTGCAACTATATCCACAACCACCAACCCGACGCCCTCATCTCCTCAAGGCATAATTACTCGGTCCAAACACAACATTCACAAACCCATTCAAAAACTCAACCTCAATGCTGAACTCCACCATCCCACCCTTGTGCCCACCACCGTCAATCAAGCATTGAAAGATCCTCAATGGCGGCAAGCCATGTCCACAGAATTTGATGCTCTTCTTTGTAATGGCACGTGGGAACTTGTTCCATCTCATCCTACCCAAAATTTGGTAGGGTGTAAATGGATTTTTCGCATCAAGTACTTACCTGATGGCTCTGTTGACAGGTACAAAGCGCGTCTGGTGGCCAAAGGTTTTCATCAACGCCCAGGGGTTGATTTCACCGAGACCTTCAGTCCTGTCATCAAACCAACCACTGTGCGTCTGGTTCTTAGCCTTGCGATAAGTCAAGGCTGGTCACTTCGCCAACTGGATGTCAACAATGCCTTTCTTCAAGGCACACTTTCAGAAGTGGTGTTTATGTCTCAACCTCCAGGCTTCATTGACCGTGATCATCCTCACCATGTCTGCAGGCTTCGCAAGGCCATCTACGGCCTCAAACAGGCTCCACGCGCCTGGTATCATGAATTACGCCAATTTCTGCTCACTTCAGGCTTTCATAACTCCACGGCAGATACCTCTCTATTCATATTCAACACTCAAGGAGTTATTCTTTATCTTCTTGTTTACGTTGATGATATCATTGTTACTGGAAACACAGCTCAAGCTGTACATCAGTTTCTTCAGCAACTCTCTATGCGCTTCTCCTTAAAGGATCTTGGGGACTTACACTACTTCCTGGGTGTTGAAACGCTTCCCCATGACGATGGTCTGTTTCTTAGTCAACGAAGGTATATTGTTGATCTTCTTCAAAAAACTCGGATGACTGAGGCAAAACCAGCCACTACACCTCTAGCAACAAGTCCGCCTCTTACCTTGCATGCTGGTACTCCCTTATCTAATCCTACAGAGTATCGCACCATTGTTGGAAGTCTTCAGTACCTCTCCTTGACCCGTCCAGACATCACTTACACCGTCAATAAACTTTCTCAATTCATGCATCAACCAACGAATGAACATTGGACGGCTGTCAAACGCTTACTTCGCTATCTCTGTGGCACGTTAGATCATGGCATAACACTTCGTCGTAAGTCATCTCTTACTCTTCATGCTTTCTCCGATGCTGACTGGGCCGGCAACAAGGATGATTTTACTTCCACCAGTGCTTACATTGTTTATCTCGGCCATAATCCTGTATCTTGGAGCTCCAAGAAACAAAGAACTGTTGCCCGCTCTTCAACCGAAGCTGAGTATCGATCAGTTGCTGCCACGGCCGCTGAACTCCGATGGATTTGTTCTCTCCTCACTGAACTTGGCATTTCTATTCCCCATCAACCGGTGATTTATTGTGACAATGTTGGAGCCACAAACCTCTGTGCCAATCCAGTTTTTCACTCGCGTATGAAGCATGTTGCCTTAGACTATCATTTCATTCGTGAACAAGTACAAAACGGTCTCCTCAGAGTCTCTTATGTCTCAGCTTCTGATCAGCTGGCCGATGTCCTCACCAAGCCCCTGTCTCGCCAACAATTCACCATGGTTTTGAACAAGATTGGACTCACTCCACCACCGTCCATCTTGCGGGGGGATGAAAAGATAACATAACCGATGCTCTGTCTCCTAGATTTCTGGTAGTTAGTTCTGCTTAGAATTAGTCTCCGATAGGTATATCTGTTGTAACAGAACACATCCTCTAGGCTGTATTTTGTGTTTAAATACTAAGGCAATCGCTAGGAAAGGGGTAGGGGAAAACATTATATGCAAGCCTCTCTTCTTCCTCACCTCTCTTCTACAATTGCCACAATGAGATCGGGAGCTGAATCATCTGTGAAGGCATTGCAAACATCTCTTCTCTGAAGGTCACGAGGCAAATTTTCTTCCCGACTAACTCCGTAGAGATATTCCACCATTTTCTTGCTTTCTGACGGTTTCCGCCATTTAGCAGCATAGAAGAGGGCAGTATGTTTGTTCACATCCCCAAGGTAAGGCAAAATTGGGTTCTTGTTCACCATTGCTTTGGCAGCGTCCACATCTGCAGCTAAGGCCACGTGATGAAGAGCAGTTCGGCCAAGTTGGTCTCCGGCTTCAAGCTGCTCCTCATCTAACTCTCCCACAAGCTTCTGCACAAACACTGACTGGCCACAGCTAGCTGCCACATGAAGGGCTGTCATGCCAAGGTTGGAGATTTTTGCTGTCTCTGCATTTTGATTGGAACGAAATTGGCAACGAGCTTCTTTCCAATTTCCTTCCATTGCAGCTCTGTAGAGTTCTGGGAGCTTTGTTGTAACAGCTTTATCAAGTTGCTGACCCCCCAATTTCTTGAATTGCTCTTCACCTACCAATATGCAAGAATAGGCTGAGCTAAAAAGCGAAAAAGAAAAGAGGGGGGAAAAAAAGGCCAAGCTTCGGTCAAGCGTGGTACATGGCCAATTGTCCATCCTCAAAATTTCCAAAAGTCTGCTTGCACCCTATGGAATTCGTTTCATAAGGAATAACAGCCAAGCATATTGTCCTCTCCTAGGAAACTATGCTTAGTCAAAATTACCAAAATGCAACGCAAGAAAGACAACCAAAATTAGGAAATAATGTATTTTTATTTTTTTGAGTTAACAAAAAGTTGTCATATTGCAAGAACGATAAAGAAAGCAAAGGCAATAATTGTTCATCTCCACCCAAGGAATAAAAAGAAAAAAGAACTGAAATAAAACTCAAAATAGGGAATGAGACAAAATTATTGGTATTTCTAAAATTGTGCTCAAAATAATTAGCCTATAGTTGTGAGTTAGGACATATATCTTTTGTCACACAAAAGTAATCCAAATATACGTCATGTGGCGTTAGAGTACAGTACCATCTCACGAGTGACTATATTCTAAAACTTGAACCTCAGAACAAGGTTGTAAAATTAGTCCTGATGAGGGCCTTAATACGTTTGACTTAAGGTCAAATTGAGCTCTAAAACTCCCATAATTCTGCCAAGGTCATCCTCATTAGAGTTACACAATCAAAGCACAAGCTCACCTCATATATATATATATCAAGGTGGGGCCTAGGTTTCTATTCCATTTCTCACTCCAAAGTCTGAAAAAAATATAAGAGCACAAGGTTATGATCGGATGTGGTATAGACTCGAAACGAAAATTTATAATCACCTAATTAGCAATCAAAACTTTGACGGGTAAGCGGAATGAATAAATCCATGAAGCTTTCATTTCTAATACTCTGACAAAGCACCCAAAAAAAATTCTTACCTTGTTTCATCTTCTCAAGAAATCTTTCGCCCCCGAGCATACCCATCATGCTTTCGTCCATCATAGCACTATGCATGTTGGTCAGCCTTTCTTTAATTCACTTGTGATAATAGACGTTCATGTTTTAGACTAATTTATATCTGAAAAAAGTGGGCATTCCTTGTGTTACATGCTGGAATCAAAAGTACTTCCAACTCCTGTGGCATTGTTAAGAATGATCTCTTGAGTGTTGCAGGGTTAAGTTTTGGCATTAGATTTTACTGATAAAAAGAGTATTCCAAAAACTAAAAGTACTCTGCAATGGGCAATAATGTCGAATTAATGTTGAAGTACACAAGTGCCTTTAATTTTGTCTGGTCACTACATAATCAGGGCAGGGTATCTTCTTTATCTTCCTTTTTGACTTTTTTCTTTTTAGTATTCTTGAGTTTATGGATGAAAGGATTGGTGAACATCCAAGATGATGAATTATTCCAACATAATCAAAACTGTTCTTATTATCTTAATTACGTTTGCCTACTTAGATAATGAATTAATGTCCCATATACTAGGAACCCAAAAAATGGGTAGGATATATAGATTGATTAAGGCGTAGATCTATGAAGAATGTTACTGATTTGAATATTGTGCGACATAAGTTGAAATTTCTCAAAGTGACAAAAAGATTATTTGGGTGTACAAAGATTAAATTTATGTGATCATTGTCTCTAAACTAATTGAGAATAGACTGCAGTATTGACGTCTTTACTAAGTGTGCATTGAAATTTAGAGACAACGGACAGAATAAAAGCACATTTGCTCCTTTTTTTTTTTTTTTTGAATTGACTGCTTGCAATTTTATTACCAGAATGATTGGTACATTCGCTTTTCCAGTTCTCACCCTTTCATTTGATTGGGGCCTCTGGGCAGGTAAAGAAGCTTTGGTGGATTATCAAGCAAGACGCCATAAAGCCGCATAAGTTAAGAAAATTGGACCCATTTGGATGGCTAATTTTTGGAATTTTTGTAGAAACGTGTACTGTAATAATTTGATACATGTGAGATAAAAAAATAATTGAAAAACGTATTCACGAAAAATATAAAAAATTTTTGGAGAAAAATGTCATCCCAAACAAGGCGGGTGAAGAGGCAAAGATCAAACACTTCCCAACTTTGGGGATAAACATTAAATTTAAAAATATACACTTTTCCATCCTCTGGTGGTGGTTTGAGCAAAAGATGTAAAGAAATGGAAGAAAGTATAAAACCAATAAAAAATGTTAAAAAAATTAAACAATATATAGTTGACCAATTGCAATGGGAAATGTATAAGGTTGGTTTACAACATTTGTGCAATGTAATTTGGATTTTTTTCAACAACGAAAGTTTAATTAATATCATGTATTATATTATTTTTGATGCAATGTATAAGGTTGTTTTGATGCCAACGAAAGTTTTTTTCAAACACATGTTGTGCATGTCGTTGTGATTTTGAGCAAATGATATGAAGAAAAGAAGAAATTACAGAACCAAAAATGTATTTTTTTTAGAAACAATGAATTTTAATTAATTATCACATTCTGTATATTACGCCAATATTCTTCTAACTTTTTCCTATGTGCAACAAAATGTAACCGATAAGTACCTAATCCTATTTTTTTTTTGGTGGTGGGGGGGGGGGGGGCGTGAGAGGCACAACTAAAATTAAAACAACATTAAGTACAACTTATCTGGGGAAACTAATTCCCCGCAAATCATCAACTACAAAAGATGAAACCAATGGGGGACAATTAGCAAAAGTACAAAAAGAAGAAAAGCATAGTTCTTTCAACCCCATCTAATTATCCCAAAAAATAGTTGCCAGCAAATTAGCTTTTGAACTTGTAAGAGGAGGACAAAATTTGCCTTGTGGGCCAAGAGAAGAGAATTCTACAGCAAGGCAAAGGGCAGCCAAATGTGGAGAGAGAGGATTTTTATCAGGTTCCAAGATGGTTTTATTACAGTTTGCCCAAAGACACCAGCAAATGAAAGCAAAGAGTGTTCCCCAGGGGATGGAAAAGAAAGGGGATTTTTGTACCAAGGAGCATCCCACCCGAAGCTACTCCTGGAAGTTAACATCAACATTAATGTGGGGCTTAAACTTTAAAGTACTCCCCACAAAACATGGCAATAGGGCAAAGTCTTAAAGCATAGGCCAAAATCTTCAGATTTAAGCAACGATGGCAAAAGTCGTCCTGAGTAATCCTTCTCTTGGAAAGATTGGATTCGGTAGATATGCTGCTTAAGGAAACCAGCCAAATAAAGTGTTTGACTCTTGAGGGGGCAGGCACTAATGTTCCCAATCCATTTGTAAGAAGAAGGGCAAACTCCATGGGTGGGATTGAACTGATCCATATTCTCTACCTGGCTAGCCTGATTATAGACTGATTTTTTGCAAAAAAATCCATTGCTGGAGAGAGTCCATCTGAGTGAATCAGAAGAGGGCTGATGGTTTTGTCTAGGAGTAGCAAAAATTGCATGAGTAATAATAATCTCTGGTAGCACAAAGGAGAAATTTTTTCTGAAATCCAAGTACCTTGAGGCCCAAACAAATCTTTACCTAAGAGATTTTCTTCCTTTCGTATAAGAGGTCCTTGGATCATTGATCTGGGAGAGGAATTTGAAAATGTTAGGATCCAAACGCGAAATAAACAACATTGAAATATCAAATGCACAACAATTTAATAGCAAATAAGCCACAAGCATGAATGATAAATGACACACAATATTTAACGTGGTTCGACTCCACCATTGAGCCTACGTCCACGGAGAGAAACATGTTCTTTATTATGAGAGAAAAACCCTATACAAGAATACAACTTGAACCCAAGGCCAACTCTTGTATACCATCTCTCATCTCTCAAGAACCCTCTCTCACACCCCATGTATAAGGCTACATGATGCCCTTTGTGTCTCCTTGTGTGTCTTAGTATCTCTTGTGTAATATGCCAACCAACCTATTTATAGGGAACATTACTGCCAAAAAAACCAAATAACAATTGGAAACCAATATTATTTCCTAAACTCATATAGAGTAGGAAATAGCATCTAAATCCTGCTAAATAGGGTTTTACTTGACTACTACTTCAAGTAACTAAATTCAATTAGAAAACTAGCTACTTTCCACACCAAATAAAAAATCTACCTAAAAGAATTTAAGCCAATTTCCTAACAGAAAACCACTTGTTTTCCCATACACAAGCACATTCTCCATCACTAACTTGCTACGTGGTTCACATATTAAAAAGATCTACCCCCTTCCTTAAGCAGTTCAGATCTAAAGACCCCTTTTTCTTGTTTGAGTTCCAGTCTACCCAAGAGAGTAGATTTATTTCTGCTAACACATTTATTTGAGCGAATTCTAGCCCATGGTTTATGCTTGTCATTCGAAAGTTGCCAGCGCATCCTAAGAACATAAAAGTGCGAATGAGGAAATTAACAGTGAATTTGATCCGTCATTGGCACCATGATTGTGTGGGCAGCATCGTAATTTCACATCAATGATCAATTCCATGTAGCGGTGCCTTTGGTGCATTGTATGGCCGGAATTTATTTCTCAATTGTGTTTTGTTTGCTCTTAAATTTAGTATAAAAAATTATCCTTCACTTTTACCGTCATTTAGTACCAGTTAGTTAATTTGTTCATAAATTTAATATCATGACAATCACTTAGTGTTCATTCTAATCATTATCCAAAGTTAATAATCTTGATTCTATTATTACTTGCACTTGATTATTATTTCATATAATCATTGTGAAGTAAATATTCCTTATGAATGAATATAAATATATGAATGTGAAGTAAATATTCCTTATATGAAGTAAATATTTCTTTTATATGAATGTGAATATTCCATATCTATGAATCTAAATCTGAGCATCGTCGCTGCTCGCGCATGGCGCAAATCCACCTGCTACAACAGGCTACTAGCCTACTTAAATGTCTCTACTAGGAGTCATAAAGCTCCATCAGTACAAGTATTAGTGTGAAAGTATCTATAGGAAGACTCTTATGTATGTAAATATAATAGTTTATTATTAACCTAGATAATTTCTATTTTTTTAATTTTAATGTATTCAACTGCAATAATACTGTGTTTTTAATTTATCATTACTCTTTTGAGCACATACCAATTGTCATATCTGGGCAGCCTCCCGCCTCTCGTGCGAGGCCCAAATTAACTAGTTTTTGTCAAGGCAGCTTGGTGGATTAGGGAGGTTTGTTTATCCCTTGTCCTCCTTTTTTTCCTTGGTCCTGGTGACATTTGACCAATTCACAAGATGTAACTTCCTATTTCCATCCGCAGCACCCCAAAGAAGGTTTCTCTGGTTTCTATCAATAGAGTCGTAAAATTTTCCCTGGACAATGATAGTAATGAACCACTGAACTTGGCTCAGTGGCAGCCCCCACCTGCAGTAAAAAAAAGGGATAATTTCAGAAACCTTCCTTGAGGTTTCTAACAATTGCAAAGATCTTCCCTGAGGTTTATTAAATTACACCTACCTCCCTTGCTTTTACTATTTATATAACAACATAGATTCAAAAGGCTATATTTTTTCTTAAAAATCCTAAACTACCTTTTTGTACAAAAATTATTTTGCCAATTGCTTTCTTTCATATTTCAACCAAACTCATTGTACTAACAAACTAGCCTAACAAATAGTCTAATTCCAAATTATAAATCTAAGCAATTCCATTATCATAGTCATAAAATTGCTTCTCCCAAAGCATGTATTCAATTTTGAAGATTTATTCCATTATCCAAAAATATTCTCACCATATAGTTTCATGGAATAGTCAAACTCACAATCAACGACCTTTATATTTGCATAATCTTCAATATAGGATGCCATGGTTTAGCTCCATATAGGTGGCCTAACTCCTACTACATGAGCCACATTATGGCCTTGAAAAAAATTCTTAGGGGAGATTTAGACATGGATGGGATTAATCAAATTTAAGAAAAGAAAAGGTATCATTATGACTATAGAGATGTTCAAGAAATTCATTTTGCCAAAAACAAAATTCTGTTTACAATTAATCGCACCCAAACTTCAAACCCAATGCCTACACCTTCTCAAAACAAAATAATCTAGCTTACCATTAAATTTCCAAACATGTTAACGTCTTAAATACAGAGAAAAAACTATTTCCTTAGCGAAACCACAACCAACAATTGTCAAACATAAAAAGAAATATAAATGTACT